CCATTTGCTGTTATTAAATCTCATTTTCAGTCTCTGTGTCACTGTTAAAACCTCAGTCTGTCAGTCTGTCCCTTTGTTAAGTGAAAGGGGGGTTTTAGACATACTTTATTTTGCATCTTTCTTTCCCTGAGGGGAAAGCTTAGGTCTTAGTTCTTAGGTTTAATACTTTATTCAAAATGAGTCCTGTCCCATAAACTGAGAACACTCGAATGTTCAGTTTGTATCTTAGCTCTGAAGCAACAGGTTTCACACCACAGCCAGCAGCAGACACTGCAGTCAGCTCGTCTCAGCAGGATCTCTTTGTCTGAAGTCTTTTTGCAGCGCTGTGAGTTGCAGGTCCGGATCAGGCAACTCTCTGTGGGCTGGGTTACTGGATTCCTTCTGGAGCCGATTTCTTTCTGTTCCTTCTGCGGCGAGGTTGTCAGCTACGCTGTCTCCAGGTCCAGGTCCGTTGTCCTTCTGCTGAATGCATCGAATTAGACGTTCTGGAAGCCATCTCGCTTGGTTTTCGTCCTGTGAGAAAACACAGACATGCCCTCGACCCCATATTAAGATGGGGTCGGGTCCCTTCCAAGTCCCATTGCTAGGATCTTTCCATTTGGCCTTAGCAAATGTGGTTTTTGTACCATTATGCCACAATCTGTCCGCAGCTGATAGCTCATGGACATCTGTATTTAGAAAGTTTAGCGTAAACAATGCATGATTTAAGGCATTGTGTGGCGTCTGAGGATACAACTCCCCTGTCTTTATTTTTTGGAGTTGTGTTTTCAAGGAGCCATGTGCACGCTCCACAATTCCTTGTCCTTGAGGATTATATGGAATACCAGTCTTATGAACAATATTCCATTGAGTACAGAATCTTTGAAAAGCTTTGTTAACATATCCGGATCCATTGTCCGTCTTTATTATCTTTGGGGTTCCCATGCATGAAAAGCATTTTAAGCAATGAGTTATTACATGCTTGGCAGCTTCTCCAGTTTGTGCTGTGGCCATTATGAATCCTGAGTAAGTATCAATTGTCACATGCACATATCTCAATTTTCCAAACTCAGTAATGTGAGTTACATCCATTTGCCATATATGATTTGGAAGCAGTCCTCGAGGATTTACCCCCAAATGAGGCACAGGTAGATATTGTGGGCATCTTTCACATTGCTTAACAATTTGTCGAGCAGCTTCTCTGGTCAACTTAAATTGTTTTCTTAGACTTAAGCTGTTTTGATGATGCAAAGCATGTGACTGCTGTGCAAGTTCAACCTGAGATATAGCAATTATTTTTGTAAGTTCGTCAGCTAGAGCATTACCTTTAGCTAACGGACCAGGAAGACTTGAATGCGCTCGGATATGTCCCACAAAACATGGTAACTTTCTACACTGTATGGCTTTCTGAATCTGCTGAAACAATATTTTAACTTGTTCATTTCCAGTTGCTATATAAGACACTGTTTCAAGGATTCTTAATGCTTCGTAAATATACCGGCTATCCGTATATAAATTGAAAGCCTTATTATCAAAATTCTTAAATACAAGAGCTACAGCCCGAAGTTCAACTATTTGAGCTGAAGCGGGTTCTGTCTGTACCACATGTCCTTTGCCATTGACAACATAAGCAGCTTTTCCATTAGATGAGCCATCAGTGAAAATCAACAAAGCATCCTTTAAGGGATTCTTTGCTACTATTTTAGGAAAAATGAATGAATGCTGTTGTGCGAACTGCAGTAACTGGTCAGCTGGGAAAAGATTATTAATCTGACCTTGAAACTGTGCAAATGCAATTGCCCATGAGTCACTATTTTGAAATAACCATTCAATTTGCTGCTTAGTGTAAGGAACATTGATTACAGCTGGTTCTTTACCAAAATATTTTCTAGATTCCATTCTGCTCTTCTGTGCTAAGCATGCTACTGCTTCAAAATAAGGATTTAATACTTTTGCTGGTGATACAGGCAGATGCAGCCATAAAAGTGGTCCGTTCTGCCATAAGACTGCTGTAGGAGTCAGCCTTGTAGGTAAAATACACATAGAGAAAGTCAAAGACTTAGGCTGCTGTCCATCTGGGCCCATACCTTGTGCCCCCCTCCACACACACTTTCTATGTTGAAGTCTCAATGCCTCCTATTGCAATTTAAAAATATTAAAGTGTTTATTGTATGTCAGGCTCCAGACCCAGTGTACTCCTTACATGTTCTTATTTGCCTCTCAAAACAAACTATGAAAGCAATTTTTTTTGGTATGTGATTAAATCATGAAGCCACTTTAGTAAGGTTGAGAAGAATGAATTCTGGCAGGGTGAGACCCATCTGGGAAGTGTGAGCTGCTCAGTCATGAGGACTGCAGTTCAGATCCCTGTAGCCACACTGGCTGGCTCACAACCACCTACAACTCCATCTCCATAGGATTCAACAGCCTTTCCTGGCCTACATGGGCACCTGCACATGCATGTGCATGTATACACTGCACAGGTACATACACACATAAATCAAATCAAACAGATCATAGCCATGATTGGTGATTTTTTTCCACCCTAAAGAATTAGGAAACTGAGGTTAAGAGAGAACACTTGCCCAAGGCCACTTTTAGCTTAATGTGACAATATCAGAATTCAATCTAGATTTGCTGGACTCCAGAGCCTGCGCTCCTGACCACACAGGTCCGGTAGCCAATATGGAAATTCAAGTTTAGAGAAGATACCCCAAGGCCACACAGAAAGAGTCTGTGAGTGGTCAGGCCTAGGCTAGTATTTAATATTGTCTCTTAAGCTTTCTATAATGGTCCTCATCCCACCCCACCTGCAGGACCGGCCAATCAGTACAATCAAAATCGGCAGGATTTTTAGGACCTAAGAGAGATTTCAGACTAGCTTCTGGTGTGTTGGAGAGGGAACGGTGGGTGGGCCCTGTCACAGCCTGGACTTTGAAAGTCAGAAGTTCTCCAGGACTAGCTGGTCCCTTTGACTTTGGGCATCCTGAAGTGGATGCAGGTAGGTGGAGAAGAGCTGCCCAAGTCGGGGGAGATCAAGGTTGTGCCTGGGCCCAGTCCATCTTTCCCCCAGTGCCTCTGACTTCCTGTGAGTGAATGGATTTGACAATATCCGCTGCTTGCTCATAAGTGGGCACAGAGAGCTGGGCAGCTCAGATCCCAAAGGGTGTGGGAGGGAAGAACAGAGTAGCTCTGTGAGAGAGCACTGGCCTAGGGGTCTGATCTCCAGGGCCGAACTTCCTCTCCTCTCTGCCCCGGACATAGAATGTTTAGTCATCTGAGCCCACTAAACACTCAGTAGATTTGGGGAGAAGATAAAAAACCCAATTTGTGAGAATTCCATATTCCTACTCTCTCTCTCTCTCTCTCTCTCTCTCTCTCTCTCTTCTCTCTCTCTCTCTCTCTCTCTCTCTCTCTCTCTCTCTCTCTCTCTCCCTTCCTCCCTCCCTCCCTCCCTCTCTATCTCCCTCCTTTGCTTTCTTCTTTCCCCCCACCTTTTTTTTTTTTTGAGACATGGTTTGTCTATGTAGCTCTGGCTGTCCTGGAACTCACTAGACTCGCTTCAAACTCACAGAGATCCATCTGCCTCTGCCTCCCCAGTGCTGGAATTGAAAACTTGTATGTCACCATGTCTGGTCTTCTTCCCTCTTTGAAGTATTGATTTTTCATCTTTACTGCGGTAAAATTAACAACTAAGAGTTTTATATGCTAATGTGTATGACTTTTTCTTTCACTTGTGAGGGGCTTGAACACAACATCTCACACATATGCCGACTTGAGTTGCTGTGCACATTGCCACGCCTCCAGAAATTATCCACCATGTACACTGAAGCTTACTTTCTTTTGGTCAATATTTTCTCACTTCCCCCTATTTCTAACCCTTTCCAGCCTCCACTATGCCTCTCTGAGTAATTAATTCCACACACATGTGACATCCCTCAAGTGTAGTCTTTCTGTATCTGACGTATTTCATTTAGCACAGTGTCCTCGGAATTCACCCACATTGCCACAACACGGCAGGATTTCCTTTCACCTAAAGGCTGAAGAGTTGTCTGTTGCATATTGAGACATCATTTTTATATGAGTTTGTGTGGTGTGTGTGTTCATGTGGAGAGCAGATCTTGACATCCTCTTCTACGGTTCTCCTTATTTTTGAGACAGGGCCTTTCATTGAACATGGAGGACAGCGGTTGGCTAGAGGGGAGACTAGCTGGCTAACAAGCCCCAGGGATCCTCCTGTTTCTGCTTTCTCAGCACCGGGGGTGCAGGTGCACACTACCTCTCCTGGGCTTTTGTATGAGTGCTGAATCTGAACTCAGTCCACATGCTCTATAGCAAGCACTTCACCTACTAAGCTATTTCCCCAGCCCTAGCCGCCACTGTTTTAGATAGTATGCAATCGAAATGTATTCACTCAGTATAGACATTTAGGGTGTTTTCCATGTCTTGGCTTTTGTGACTAATTCTGTAGCAGACAGCTAAGCAACAGCATTGTCAAGATCCCAATCCTGTTTCCTTTGAAACTACACGCAGAAGATTACAGGTCACACCACTGCATTGCCTTTGTTGGCGGAGGTACCTTCACACTGTTTTCCACGATGGCAAGCCCACTCACTTTCTCAGCAACAGTGCACAAGGGTTCCCATCTCTCTCTGTCTTTTGCTAGCCTTCATCTTTCTGGAGAGAGCTATTTTTAACAGGTGTCAGGTGTGGGCAGATACAGGGTCTGTGCTTTCAGTTTACCTGGGTTGTGTGCGGTGCTGAAGATAGAAACTAGAGCCCTGCCTATGTCAGGCAAATGCTACCCCTGAGCCACACACCCCAGCCAGGTCTTTATTTGAAAATGTTTATGGGAGCTGGAAATTTACCTGGGAACTGCCTGGGTTTTCACCTTTTCCACGTGAGGCACGGAACAAACATTTTTCCATTTCTGACTTTCTTGCCATTTACAGCAAAGTAGGTAATAATCTAAAACTCAACCCCACAATAACAAACACAGCAGAGTCTGGGTTCTGAGGATTCCGGACAGTTTATTTTTCCCACATTCTCTCTTTCCACTTTCCCGGAGGTGGCCCATGGCAACGAGCCTCAGGAGAGCCTCATTCTTCCATCTTCTGTGGAAGAAAAGAAATTGTACACAGGAAGTGAGTCAAGCTCCATGGGAGGCACAGCATCCCCTTCAAGGGAAAGAGATGAAAAGTTGGGAATTTCAGAAAATGGCAGGAAGGAATGACCTTGTCTCACTTTGTGTTGACAAAGAAACCAGTTAAACTACTAGGGATCAGGACACGTCACCTCAGAAGCAGGGGTTCACTAGACTGCATCTCTCCCAATAGGGAGAGAAGAAGATGACATGTTTTTACCCTGCGCTTCTTGCAAGAGCATGGTACATAGGAGTCTATGCTCAAAGAGCATTTGTGAGTGTATGGCCAGTGGCAAGGATGAGGACACCAAAAGACATCTCCAGGCTTTTTTTTTTTTTTGGTTTGTCTGTTGGTCCTTCAGTATGAATAACCTTTTGGAAAGACACCATCCTCAAGTGTCTGCTCTTACCTGGCCTCCCACGTCACGGCTCTTGGCCCTTAGCTTGTTGACTTGCGACTCTGCAATGTCTGCCCTCTCCTCAGCCTCCTCCAGCTCATGCTGGACCCTCCGGCACCTGGACAGCTGTGTGTTAGCTTGCTCCTCCTGCATGGGACGAAGACAGAGGTTATACAGTTGTGGAACCTCTCTGGGGCTCTGGGGCTCTGTGGAGTTTGGGGGAACCAGGAAAATGTGAGCCCTGTATTCACAGAAAGCAGCGAGGGGAGATGAGTTGAGCTCTCCAAAGAATAGTGTCCTGCTCCTGATGTGGTGTGCTATCTAGGGGCTCCTTGTGAGCTCCAGATGTGGTGTGCTAACTAGGGGCTCCTTGTGAGCTGGGCTCATGGTGTGATGTGCTAGCTAGTAACTCTTTGTGAGCTGAACTCATGATGTGGTGTGCTAACTAGGAGCTCCTTGCAAGCTCTTCCTCTTCTCCAAATGGCCGTCACGTACCCTGAACTCCCTCTCTACAACAGCTCTCCCAAACAACTCTTATACAACCCAGAGATGACCCAGGTCATGACATCTGAAGGTATCAGATCAATGGTCCAAATCCCTTTTGTTTGATGCTTTTGATAATTGCCATGTAGCTAGGACAGACTATTATATCCCCCAACTCTTAACTGGTTCCAGTATATTTCTTCAAGACTTCTTCCCTCCTGAGCAGGGAAGAAAGAGGGCAAAGGGAGAGGCCATATACCAATCATTTCTTCCTTCAGACATTGGCCTTGGGAGATGCTCTGCAGGCATCCCAAGCCAAGCAAGTGCAGTGAAGGAACTGTTCTAGAGTGCCCTTTACTTCTGAGAGTGAATCACGTATTAGCTCTAAAATCTGAGAAATCCTTGAAGGCAACACATTTAACCTTATTAGACTGAAATTTTTCTTTTCATTTCGTTTTTAAAGACAGGGTTTCTCTGTGTAGTGCAAGTTAGTCTCTGACTTAAAATCTACCTGCTCCATTTCTGGGGTACTGGAGAGCACAGGCCAGTGTCAACACCCGGCATAATTTATTTTTTACAAAGCAAAGGCTACCTCCCATCTTGGTCCCAACATTTTGCTATTTGTAGCCCTTGGACCCAAAGCCACTGGAAGACATCCTTCAAAGCACTGGCTTTGGCTCATCTACTGCCTTTCCTGTTGATCTGACCTATTTGATTGGGAGGCAATGAAACAGGGATGGAAAGGAGTATGGGCATGTTGCTATAAAAGTCTGGAGGTGGGGGACCAGGAGAGTAGAGTGTGGTAGGATGACAAGCATTAGGATGAGGTGTTTCAGGGCAGGAGGGCAGAAGACGGTGCTGGTAGTGGTCTGGTCTGGTTAGGGAGAGCTGGGATGACACAAGGTCATCAGAGTGAACTAAGATGCTCTGGGGTAGATGGAATGAACCAGGGAGAGATGTAGGTTAGGGATGGAGGTGGCTGGGAGGAGCTGGGAAGCTATGAGGGTACAGGAAGTTAGGAGGGGGAGAAGATCCAACGAACACAGACCAAATGAGCATTAAGGGAGATGTTTCTGTGTGTGACCTGTAGATGCAAAGTCAGGCCTGGGGCTCTCTGAATGATTCCAATCAGGCATTGGTCCCCACTCGGGCTTCATGAGGACACCCCGGTGGGTGACATGATGCACAGGAGCCTCCAGTACTCACAGCCTCCTCTGCCTGTCTCTTGTAGGACTTCACTTTGGCCTGCAGCTTGTCCACCAAGTCCTGAAGCCGGAGGATGTTCTTGCGGTCCTCCTCAGCCTGCAAAAAAGAACATCCGTAACAGAGACCTCCAGTCCCCGACTCCTTTTGTTGGGGTCTGCCCCACATAGCGGCACTCGAGGGCTTGCAGCTCGCTACCTGGTAAGTCATCTCTTTGACTTTGCGTTCATATTTGTGGGCCCCCTTCAGAGCTTCAGCCCCTCTCTTCTGCTCGGCATCCAGCTCATTTTCCAACTCCCGCACCTGTGTGGGGTGAAGAGCATCAGAAGCGAGGTCAAGGCTACTAGCAGACTCACATGCTAGTCATCCTAAAGTGACCTTAAGACCTTGCTGTGTTTGACAGAGACATCTCCTCCTAGGCCCAGTCCCTGTAGTGGCTTTGTACAGATTATAGCAATATGCATTCTCGGGGTAGAGGCAGGCACTGGTGCATAGTGCTTGGCTCCTGGCTCAGACTTGGCAAAGAGGTCCCTTCCTCTGGCGCTGTGTACTTTGGCAAGGACACCACAGATTGGAAGTCTGCCCTGCTTATCATCACTGATAAAACCTGCTGGACTCTTAATGGATATCTTGATTCCAACTAGGCAAGGCTTTATTAATCATGGGCAGACCAAGCTATGTCCAAACCCAAGGCCGTTTGATAGATCTAAAGCAAGTGAGTTGCTACCACTGGGCATGGCTGCCAATGGAGATGCCCAACCCACTTCAAAGGTGGGTGGGATGAGACAAAGTATGGAAAAAAGAGTGAAGAATCAACTCAATGCCATACTTTTCTTTTGCCTTTTCTGAAGTCTTGAGGGAAGAAGGAAGCCCCTGAGATGGCAGATTGTCAACTGTGGTGCCAGTATCCCAATGCCACAACTCTGAGAGATGCAGCTGGGTGTTGGGGTGTCTACCAACCACATGCCCCTCTCCCTGGGGACTCCAACAGCATCAGAAAGAGAGGTCAGCTCATGCTAGGAGACTCATTACATCAACTTTGAAAGCTCCTGGGGGAGAGTGAAAATGGAGTTCCACCATCTTTCATCAGGTCTCACAACAAATCTCCCCACCCCATGCTTGCTCTCCAGGCCTCTGGAAGCTTTCTCGGATGTGTGAAACTGGACGGCTGGGATCAGAGGACAGTCAAAGCGGCTGACTGACTGTGCAAGGGGGAGGTGACCGTAGGCTCCTGACTGAGCTAAGAAAAACCACAAGGTATCAGGGGACTTGATCCTTTCCTTCTGGAAGGGGTCTATGAGAAGCATGGGGCTATGCTCCTTTTCATTGGAATGGAAGGGAAGAATTTTTTTTATGGGAAGTAAAAAAATAACAAAAAACAACAACAAAAAAATTTGCATATTTAAAAGGAACCGTGTGCCTAGCGACCACATGGTTCTAGGGATGCTCACATAAAGAACAATTGTACTGGAGACTTCCTATTGGGAAAATTCTCTCCTCTTCCATCCTCCTCATTCCTGCCCACTCTTCCATTTTCTCTCTTCCTGGGACAAAAGAGATATTCTAATAGCCTCCTCCATGCAGCCCTTCTCAGAAATGTCAATTGTGCACGCAGCCCATTTCAAAAATGACTGAAATAATCCAACACAGATTTGAAGGGGAAAATCAGGAGGCTGAGAAAGCAGCATAGATCAGCAAAGGAAGTGAACGACTGTGAAGTAGGCTCCGAGAGCAAGTCCAAGACTTCTGGGGCCGGAGAGATAGTGTCTCTGGTGCATGAACTTGGAGGAAGAAGTGTCAATCAAGCTCCTTTGGGGATGGGGCAGGATATACCCTAAAACTGCTACTGCATATAGAGATTAGGAAAGCTGGAAAGAGAATGACCTGAGAGTAGGAGCAGAGGGACAGAAGGACAAAACCATAGAAACCATGTCCAAGCGTGGAATTTCTTGACCATAGAGCACTTTTCCCTATATGTGTGTATAATTGTGAATCTACAGGGTAGCAGGAAGTGAACATTAAAAGATGTCATCTTTGCCAAGTGTGTTGGTGCACACTGTTAAATCCAGCACTTGGGAGACAGAGGCAGACAGATCTCTGTGAGTTAGAGGCCAGCCTGGTCTATATAGTGAGTTCTACACAGCGAGAACCTGCCAGGGAATGGCGGCGGCACTTTCCCACCACCTAAATCTAAATTTCTGCTTCATGGGTTCTGCCCAAGATGGCTGAAACAAGGCTACTTGGAAAGCCAGTGCCTTCTCAAATCACCCACCCTGGCCTCCAGTTTCTGGATCTGCTTCTTGCCGCCCTTCAGTGCCAGCTGCTCAGCCTCGTCTAGACGGTGCTGCAGGTCCTTCACCGTCTGCTCCAGGTTCTTCTTCATCCGCTCCAGGTGAGCGCTGGTGTCCTGCTCCTTCTTCAGCTCCTCCGCCATCATGGCAGCCTGGGTCAGTGCACAGAACATATCTGTAGGCTACCCATCCAGTACTACTCAGAGTACACAGACAATGCTGTCGTCTTGTGCCTCATGCTGAGCCTCCCCTCCCAGTCATTGTGTCCCATTTTGCCTCTCCAATGACCTTCTTTCCTGGCATCTCTCCAGGAAGCAGCCACAGACTGGCTGTGCTCAGAAAAGATGATACCCCCTCGCCGTGTCCCCGGATATGAAATCCCCCTTTCTCAGCTCCCACTACCAGCTCGGCAGAGGATGATGCTCACATCAGTGATGGCCTTTTTGGCTTTCTCTTCTGCATTTCTGGACTCCTGGATGGAGTTCTCCACCTCCGCCTGGCACTGAGCCAAGTCAGCCTCTAGTTTTTTCTTGGTATTTATCAGGCTCGTGTTCTGCAAGAAAAATTAGATTTTGAGGGTGACGGTTTCCTATGGGCACTTAAAACAATGGGAAAGGAGGGCAGTGGGTGGGGAGGGAAGTGAATCACAGTCATCTTCCACTTCTTATTTTCCACATGAGTGGTCCGCTGGGTACAATATCATTCCTGACTGAACAGAAAGTCCTGGGACAGAGCCAACAGCTGTACATCAGAAAATGGAGTAAATGATGAAGGGGGAATTTCAAACCTTTGAGAATGGATAGATTTTTCAGCAAAAGGCATTGAAACAAGAACATGATTGATAGACGCATTTATGTAAAATGAAAAATATTTCTACTAATTAAAATATGCCATGCATGGAATTGAAACTGGAATGGTAATGACAAACCAGAAAACATCATCTATATATGAAAACACTCCTGTCCATATATAAATAAGATATATTAACAAGAAAAAGGGGCAAGGAGAATAAGTAGTTAAAACACACAAGAAATATGATGGATACCCAACTGGTGATATGTTCTATTTCATCCTTACTAAAACTTATAATAATAATTATTATTATAACAATAATAAACCAATGACATATGCTTCAACAATAAAGTTTGTGAAGATTGAACAGCTAGGGTATTTTGGAATTTGTAGAAGAGTCCTCGCATGGTAATAAATGGGAATAAAAATCAGGAGAGCCTTGTTAAGTAGAAATTACATGTGTTGTATACAAATGTCTTTACTGTTTTGACCCTGAGTTTATTTTCTTCCAGATATAGTGACAATAGTAATCACAGATGAATGAAAAATTTTAGTTATGGAAATATTAATTAGTCTTTGTAATAGTAAAGAATTTTATTGGTAACAATGTAAAATAGCCAACCATAGAGGACTGATTGCAGTCATAATATTCAACTTTTGTTGCTGCCTTTTTTT